TTTTTTGCGGAACCAGGGATTGAACTCAGGCCCTTGCGCTTGCCAGGGAAGCGCTTATTCCACTGAGCCATCTCCCCGGCCCCAACTTCTTCCCTTTTATATACACATGCACATGCATATATATGAAAAAAAAATATGTGTATAACCCAACAGAAGATTGGTACTGTTTCATAGAAATCTTCAATGACCTTTAAATAAGGGTTCATCTAATATTTTTTATGTAGTCCTGCATAACTGTCATATTGAGTGCTCTTTATTTTCATCCAGGAGCATACTGCAACTTCTCTTGCCTTTTGAATTATGCTTTTTATTTCCTATATGCTACGTCTGGAGGCATTAAAATATTTCAAGTTTGTATAACTAGAAAATCTTACTTTTAGTTTTCAAAGGTATGTTGGCTAAGTATAAAATTCAAAGAGGACAGATCTTTTTTTTTCAGTCCTTTAGTCTAGTTTCTTACACACTTGGTCCTTCTTTTTCTACTGTAGAATAAGATGCTATTTAATTTTGCTCTTCCATAGCTAATATTTTTTATGTATATGCTTTAATGATTTTTTTCTTTACAATAACTTTTGGACAATTTCATTTTTGTGTATCTTGGTATGATTTTATTTAAATTTCTTGTGCAAAAAGGTTCATTTTTCTTGGAAATGTGGTATTATAATTTGAACTAAATTCAGAAATTTTAAATCTTTAAATATTTATTGCCTACTCCTTTCTACTTTGAGAATTCTACTTATATGAATATAAGTTTTTTGGTTTTGAACTATTATGACTGATCTGTAAATTCTTCATTTTATTTTGGACAGTTTTTATTGTTATATTCATTTATGTTTGTAAATAATTTATTTTCAATTTGCAATCTATTAAAAAAATTAAAATAAAAAAGGAACAGAACAGAGTATGTTGACAAGAGGGAGCAGGGTAGTTGTGGCATGCAAGCCAAATTCAATCTCATTTTGTAGGATGGATTCCCAATTTAAGAAGTTGTGAAAACATTAAAGAGTACTTCTAGGTGTGTCTGATACCAAGAATTTATGATCTTCCATGTCCTTTATGGGGGAAGCTATAATAGGAAGGATCAGTGAGAGTGATTGGTTCAAGTATTGAACTGATGAATCCCCCCAAAGCTTCCCCTAATTTCCTGTAAGACAACAAGTGAGGGCCTGCCAGATAGTTTAGCAGACTAAACCACCTGCTTAAGCAGAGGCAGGGGTTCGGGTTTGATCCCTGGCATGCTGCGCTGGCCCCACCCCGATGGTAAGCTGAGGAGACTGGACATGGTGGCACACTTCCTATACTGGATTGCCAGGCACCTGCCACCTTGAAGTTCCAACTCAAAGCATTTATAGACCATTCCACTTGGATTCTGAAAATAGGTATAAGTGTTCTGATGGATAGTGATCACTGAAGGGTTTTTAGCAGAGAAGTGGCTATTCAGTATAAATCATGTGAGCTCTGCCATCATCTGCCCTTTTAAGAACTCTTTTGGTTCCTCCCATGTTCTCTTGCACTAGGATCCTTAGATTTATGTTCAGGCAGAAGGTCAGTATGCCAGCTTTTTTGCTGCTTGTAATTAGTGTAGCATTTTACCTGAACCCTTAGCATGGGCTGAAGCAGTTGGTTGGCATCATCACTTTTTTCATTTAGTCTCAGCTCTGCAAGATAGATACTATTTTCACCTTAAGAGTTGTGAAAATGGGAGCCGGGGAGATGGCTCCGTAGAGTAAGTGCTTCCCTGGCAAGCTCAAGGGCCTGAGTTCAATCCCTGGTTCCACCAAAAAAAAAAAGTTGTAAAAATGCCTGAGGAGTTGCTGTGCACCAACTCCAGCAGTCAGATTATCTGGAGGTGCAGGAGCCTGAGCAGGAAGGGAGAATATTCAAATACAGGAACTTCCTCTCATGTAAAAAGTGGGCCTCTTAAAAGTTACCATTTGACCTTCACTTGAAAGTCCATCCAGAAGCAATTTTCAGTGTCTCAGCCCTCTGCCCTGTTCTCACAAGTGACATGGGGTAGTTTAGAGGCTTTTTAGTTTTCTGGTGTTCTCAGATAATGTATATGGACTCTTTGAAACTGATACAGCTGCCTTTTCCACTGTGTCTAAAATAACCAGAACACGTGAGGTTTCTTCCTCAGATTAGTGGAGCTAGGACATATACTCCTGAGAGCACCATTTTCTTATTTGGCTACAAGGAAGTTTATGTCCCCCCTAAGAGAGCCTGTATTTCAGGTTCTTGATATAAACCCCCGTATGTTTACACTCCATTTGTACTTAGCTACCTAAGTGCAGCTGTCTTGTCCCCTGCCCCTGGCACCTTATAATGGGTTAATGACTATTGTCATTGAGCATAATGAAATCCCTATTTGTACTCAATTAAAACATAAAAGTAGGTGGGTGTGGTGGTGGCACACACCTGTAATCCTAGCACTGAAGGGATGCCAAGGCAGGAGGATCACAAATTCAAGCCCTACTTGAGCAGCTTGGTGCGACCCCATGTCAAAAAATTAAGGACTGAAAATGCATTTTAGTGGTAACCCTGTGTACCAGAGGAAGAAAACATACCAAAGTCATAGAGAGAAAGATTTGTTATTCCCCTTCCCAACTTCATTCTTCTTTGGTCCCTACTCTCTAAAAGGTTAAACAAAGAATTCCCTGAATTCCATTGGCAGCACATAAGACTGAGCAAAGGTCTGATAGAGAGCCCAGGCTGTCACCTAGCTGTACTCTGCCAGGAAAAGTTGTAAGGCTAGCACTTTGCCCTGATGACAAGGCACTGATACGGCCTCCCCAAGGGAATCAGCACTGTCTGTAGATACACAGCTTCCTCTTCTGCTGATAGGTGTTGCAGCTGTGGCAGGAAACCAGGGAGCTTATTAACACAGCTGATAAAGGCACCGGAAGCCAACATAGTCTTTGTGCTTAACAAAAGATACATTTTTTAAAAAAAATATTTTTAAAGGGGGGGAACCCCTGTTGAGTGTATCCACCCTCACCTCTGCCTATCCCTTCCTCACATGAATATTCCAACATTGGAGGAGTGAAGCTTGGCCTTGCTAATCTGTTCACTTAAGATCCACAAGAGTTCACAGGCATTCCCTAATACCTTCACAGACCATCTATGCAAAATGTCAGTTCTCCCAGCCAGTGATAGGAGCTGGCAGTCAAGCCAGCATCCTAATCTAGGCATACTATTTTATTTTCATTTTTAAACTTTAAGCCCAAAAGGATGTGAAATGTGCCCTGTCTTATCTCCTCAATCAGATACCAGTCACCAGAAAACTACGTGTGCACACCCTGTTGTAACTAAGCTATACATTCTCCAGTGCAACACAAACCTAGGAGCATCATTGGTGGGGCCAGGAGGAGGAGGGCTGAACTACTACCACAGTCTTACTTCAAGCAAAATGGTACAGCTTTATATTTATATACCCTGTTAGTTTTGAAGGATGTCCTTGGAAGGATCTCAAAGCAATCTGGTGAACTGGAGAGCCATGCAGATCGGCTTTACGACTCTATCCTCGCCTCTCTGGACATGCTGGCTGGCTGCAGCCTCATCCCTGACAGTAAGCCAGTGGCAGCCATGGAGCCCCCATGTGCAGGGGTTTAACCAGGTAAGTAGAGGGACCGAAGAAGGAAGTCTGCCCTTCGGCCCCAGAGGTGCTTAGGGCACAGAGCTTATGACTGTCGCATACAAGCATGCTAAGCATATTTACACAAATGAGGTGCTAGAGGAAGATCACCAGTGGGACAGGATTCGTGACCACTGCCCAGAGGGTTATGGGTCTTCCTTGGTGGTGAAAGCTTGCTTTTGTGCCTTTGTTTCACCCCTGCTGCCTGCTGAGAATGTGCACCTCCTTGCTTCTGTCATCCAAACTAACCATGCTTCATTTCTGCACATAGGCACTTCTCCAGTATTACCATGCTGCCCCGCCTACCGGGTCTTCTGTTTGTTCAGTGCCTTATCGCCAAGCATCCCTGCAGCACTAAGTATCCATGAAACCCAGTTACTGCTAATGTGCCCTACCCACAGAGGGTCTCTTTATTTCCTACACCACTCATTTGAAAAAAGGCTAGGAGACACAGGTGCTATACACCTTGGAGACTTCAACAAGTAATACAAATTTCTTATCCCTCAAAAATTAAAAGGGAATGGTAAGAAACAGGCTGAGAGAGGCATTGCCACTATCCCACAGTCAATAATTCCACAATTCTGCTGTACTTTTTTCTGGAGTTCTATGAATATTTGTAACACTCAAGATTTCTTAGGTATAAATTCACTGTAGCAGCCAGATATGGTGGCATGTGCTTATAATCCTTGCACTGGAGAGGTGGAGGAAGTGCACAACTTCAGGGCCAGGTGGGCTGCTCTGTCCAGAGAAAAAAGAAAATCTAAAGTATTTGGAGTGGAGAGTTCCTCTGTTTTCATTACAGCAATTTAAGTAGTCCTCTTGGTTTTGAAATGAATGCAGGTGATTGCTGTTTTTGTTTGTTCCTTTGCAACATTTTGCACTTTCTCTTTCAGGCACCTTCAGCAAAGCTGCAGCTGTTCTTGGAAAGAAAGAAATTTATAAGAAATCCTGGCAAGAACCACTTAACAGTTAATTAAGGGGAAAAGCTTAATATACTAGCTTTAAAAATGCCTTTCTCTTATAGAAGTAAGGGCTATTGAATTACTGTTTCTATTACAATGAATCCTTCCAGACTTAAGGTTTTCCTTTCGGTGCTTCTCTATAAAAAGCATGTGGCTCTGTAATTTTTGATAAAATAGTTAAGATTTACAGATCTTGACTTCCCTCTTAAGTTAAAAACTGTGGACAAACCTAACTCTTCCACCTGTTGAGGTCACTGACAGAAGACTGATATGAGAAAGAAGATGCTAAATACAGTATTTGGAATGCTAAGGCATAGGAGATCCATAAGACTGAAAAAAGCAATTGGCTGGACAGAAACCTCAGGTCTTTCTCACAGTTAGACTTAGGTTTTACATTTCCTCTTTAAAAAATACCTGAGAAGAGACTTTTGCCAGAGGTCTGCAGAAGAAAACCAGTAAGAGAGTAGAACCTCTGCAAACTACCTTAGCTGTCTTCCAGGCTGAAGTCTCCACCTTCCTACCTAGCTGAGATCCCTTGAAAGGGGACATGGAAAACTATGGTACTTCAGCTTGGTTATGACCTGATTAATTAATTGAGCTGATCAATTAATCAAGCTTAAAGGTGATTCTGGGAAAATTCATCAGACCCTTTAGCTTTCCCTTGGACTAGCACTGTATAAGGCTGGGAAAGAGAATGGATAAGGTAATGTAACATGTCACTATAAATTCACAGCTTACAGGTTCTTGTCTTTTTCTTTGCTCTGTCAGAACATGTTTGTTTTTGTTTTTTGTTTGTTTGTTTGTTTTGGTGGAACCGGGGATTGAACTCAGGCCCTTGCCAGGGATGCGCTTATTCTACTGAGCCATCTGCCTGGCCTTCCATATCACTATAGAAACAAGCTGTCAAGATTAAAGAATTCTTCATGTTCTGTATAGGTTTTGAGTAAACAAAAGCAAGCAGAAAAAAAAAAAAAAAAAAAAGCACAATACAGTAGTCTCTAAAGTTCTATTAAATGAGATTTTTCTGCTTCAAAATTTCTTAAAAGACAGACACTGGAAATAACTATTAAATTCTAATATTTAAAAACTGGCCATTCAGCAGTAGCTACACATAAAGTATTTCAAGTGCCTGCTGCTACTGTAGTAACATAATGTAGGTTTATCATAAATTTAAGGACACATTCAGAATTAAACTTCTACGATTCTGCCATCTCATATTACTCTTGATTGTATAAATGCTGAGATGAAGACAGGAAACATCTCCCTGACCACCCCCCTATACACATTTCTTCAAAGCATAGAATTGGTTAAAAAGTCAGATATGTGTAATATATTCTTAAAGTGATGAACCTCTTTGATGTGGCTATAAACTGGAATATACATTGAGTATGTTAGAGCAGCCCTGAAGAATTAAATCCATTTGACAAGCATGAAAATGGCATTTTTGAAGATGATAACCTTATGGAAACAAACTGGCTATTATGTATCAATTGTGAATGTAGAATTTGGTATTCTTACTACTGTTCACTATAATAATAACTTTAAATGACAGAATTATTTTGGACCACTCCTTTTCCCAAAGTGCTACCTTATCTACAGATGATTTAAGATACTTTTGTTCATCTTGTTTGAAATACAGTGTGACTGAGTGCTCTCTAATGTGGCTCCAAATGCCACAGGAGTATTAACATGACTGTTACTTCCATGTTCAGCTATTCAGTTTGATACCTCTCTTAAAACTCAAGCTGAAAATGCTTCAACCTAAGAAGATAACCTCGGCATGGTAGCACATCCCTGTAATCCCATCACTGACAGGCTAAGGCAGCAAGAGGATTATTGGGAGTTGGAGGTCCATCTGGGCTACAAAGTGAGCTCAACTTACTGCATAAAGATACTCTGTCTCATGGGCCAGGGAGATGGCTCAGTGGAATAAGCGCTTCCCTGGCAAGCGCAAGGGCCTGAGTTCAATCCCCAGTTCGAAGGAAAAAAAACTCAAAAGAACTAAAAACACTTAAGGTACATTTCCATCAGCAAACATTGCTAGGTTAGATTTAAGTAGCCAGGCAGGTTGGCATGTTGTGTTGCCATAATCACGTTTTTAATGGAATCTGTCTATAGCAAAGTGGCAAAACTAACGGCTACCAATTTCAAGACTTAGTTCTTGTTTTGGGGTTTTTTTTTGGGGGGGGGGGGGCAGAAGCAAGGATTGAACTCAGGCCCTTGCGCTGACCAGGGAAGCGCTTACTCTACTGAGCCATCTCCCCAGCCCTCTATTAGTTCTTGTTATACATACTTGGCTAAGCTTCAGCAAATATGACTGTTACAAGACAGGGCAGTATTTGAAATAATGTGGGAACATGAAGCGTTGCTGTAAGACACCATGGAAAGGCAACACATATGTGAAAAGAAAGCTCTTATATCCAAGGTCAGGGAACGGGAAGTTAGGGCTCAGACGATTATGGCTGCCCTTCTGTAAGGATTGTCCCAAGGTTGCCCCTGCTTTAAACAGGGTAAGCTAAATTATGACAGCCACTTATATTTGAAACAAGACAGGTGATAATTCCCTTTATTATGTGAACCATTTAAAGGGCATGGCAGCCTTGAAATGTCTATACTTGAAAATGGGGTTAGAAGTGAGAATATATTTTTTTCAAAAATGGATTTATTGGAATATGCATAAAAATAGTGAAGCATGCTGAAATGTGTTAAATCCTAATTTTGACTGCCATAAGGAAATGAACATTAAGATTTTCCAAACTATGGAAATATGTTCATATATCAAAATAACTCATGTAACATTTTGTGATAACATGCCAGTGATCTGCGTTTTAACAATTTTTGCTGTATAATTCTAAAACGCATAGCACATTTGTTTTGTATCATTTAGCTACTTTAGAAAAGTTTGAATTCTTCCCCCCCCCTTTATATAATGTATTAATAAGGGAAAAAAACTTTTTAAAGCATTAAAAAAATAAAATAAACTACTGGTACCTTCAGGAATGTCAGTTGCCTTATATAAGGATAAATAGATCCAACAAGCACGTCTATAATACAAAGTAAACTGTGATTTTATTGTGAAATTCTCATAGGTGGAAATTGAGTATTCTGTTCATTTCATTTTACAATGATCTTACCACTTATTTTTGTACCATGTATTTCAATTGCCTGTTTAGTGAAAAATAAAAAAATTGTAATTTTTGGCTTGTTTTTAACTTGAATTTTCTCATTAAAGACTCCCTAAAAATGTGTTGCTGACAGCCATATCTCAAGCACCCATGTCAAGAATGTTTTGGCTGCTACTTTACCCAAAGGAAATAACTTTCCATCTCTGCCACTTCAAATCACCAGTGTCAGCAACAGGTTGTTTCCCACAATGAAATAAAAAAACCCAGGATCCTGAAAGTCCTATTTAACAAAATTTTCACACATACAAAAATTTTGTCGAGATATTTCTTTCATTTACCATTCCTACCTAGCAGTCATGTTTCGGTTAATTTTCAGAGATATAATGTTGAAAATTGAGGCAACAGAGTTTCCTGCCTTGTAACATGCTGGAGACCCGAGGCCATGCCATGTGTTAGGCAAGCACTCTACTACTGAGGTATATCCCCAGTCCCATATTTCCTGCTCTCTACTTTAATGGGTAAACTCCAACATGAATTCTACCCTTATGAAACAACTGACATGCTGATTCAGAGCATCATGAAATATTAACACACTATGCCTGCTTGCTCATTAGGGTGTGCTCCTCCTACCTCTATTCCAGATGAATTAATAAAAATGTTGACTGTAAAGCCATTTCAAATGGTTTTAGAGAAAAATAATAGAAGTACATATTCTAAACTTGCTTTCCATACAATTTGAGCTTCTTAAATCACCGAAGTTGGTTAAATCCCTAACACCACAGACAGCTCCCTAACCCAGGTCTCTTATCAGGTCTATTAGTTTGAAAGCAAATATTGGCTACTGCCCTATTGGTCTAGTATTCCCTGGCTGCACACAGAAATGGCTGTTTTGAGTGTAATGAAATCTATTTCCCTTTAACCATAAGAATTAAAACAATACTTATCACCATACAGTTTGATATTACTTCCAATAAGTACAATATTTATTAAACATATCTTCAGTTGTTTTGTTACATAGTGTGCAACAAATTACAATATTCTGCAGCCACAAATTATATGCAGAGTTTGAAGAAACTATTAATCAGATAGTGTAATCTTTCCATTTATAACTCTACAAGGAAGAACTAGCAAATCAGGTCTTACGTATAACATCTCACTAAACTTTATGCATGGAAAGTGTCAGACACTGGTTGTGCTGTTTGATACAAAATGGCTGAACTTCATCTTCAGAAGACTAAACCTGACATCTAAACATGCCAATATAAACATCAAAACAAAATATATTCTAACCAACCACGGGAAACAGTCTGGTATCAGGAAAGCAACAAGGATTACACACATTATTTTATAAACCAGCACACAAAGGTTTAAAACAGTTCTGAAAATGAAGTTAGCTGTCTTGAGTCAAGGGAATAAAAACAAAGTCAGTATTGACCATTTACAATCTCTGACCTTTGTGGAGACGGTAAGAATCTGTTGTAGTGCAGCTACATACAGTACAATTCAGGCAATTTGTTTTTCACTTGGGTTCAGATTGCAAATTCATTGCTGTGAGAAAAAGACGGAGGCAAATTTTAGCAGCAGCCTCCACCTGACTGCTTGACCGGAGTGCTCTGAATTTTAACATTGGACTTCTCTGCGCCACCAGCTGTTGCTCCAGGGCCCATTCGTTTTTTAATCTCAGCTGCCATCGTCATGAAAGACTGTTCTACATTCGTTGCATTCTTAGCACTGGTTTCCAAAAATGGAATTCCAAGGGAATCAGCAAATTCCTACAGGAATAATAAAGCATAATGAACACTGAAAAATCTTCCTCAGTCCATTTCTACCATCTAAAATGCAAGTAAGGAAGGATGGTAGCCACATACTATATATATGACGTGTCACTATCAAAATATTCTAGTACACATATTTTTAAGTGATGGTGGTTGTGGCCATCCATAATAGGGTTCCATACCCATTCAGAATTACAACACCTTCAAATTCGATATGAAAAAAAAAATACAAATATACCTTTGCTGTTGTGTAGTCTACTACTTTCTTTGTAGTCAGATCACATTTGTTCCCTACCAACAACTTGTTGACGTTTTCACTGGCATAACGATCTATTTCCTGAAGCCACTGTTTGACATTATTGAAGGACTCCTAAAAGACAAGATTTTTTTTTTTTTTTCAAATAATAATACAGTTCTGGACCCAACTGCTCTAATGATGAAGTGACACACTGAAGCACCCAAACAGCCAATGAGAAGACTAAAAAATTATGTACGGCAGGGCCAGGGATATAGTTCAGAGCACAAGCGCCTGCCTGACAACCACCAGTTCCTGAGTTCAATTCCCAGTAGTATAAAACAGAAAAAGAAAAATTATGTAAGACACGAGGAAAGAAGTGACATGTATTAAATAAGCAATAAACTAGAACTTGAAGATAAAATGTGAAGGGTGAAGACAGAAAATGCTGTATCTGAATGAAAAATACAGCTTAACATTTTTGTTTAGGTTTAGTTTTTGTGAAACATGGTCCCACTATGTAGTCTAGGCTGATCTAAAACCTGTGATCCTCCTGCCCTAGCCCCTCAAGTGCTGAGAGTATAGGTGTACACCAACCACCAGGCCCAGTGCAATTCAGGCAGCTCTGATAGGAAAAGTAATAACCAGGCAAATTCTCGCTCATGTTTAAAACTAAGAACACTATTTCTGCCCATATAATCAGTTATTTGATGATAAAGGTAACCAGTATCCCTTGATCAATTAAATGTAAAAGCTGCTACTAAATTTTCTGTTTACCAAATAAAGGAAAATGCATTTTATGTGTTTCACAGTTGTCTTTGGAGGTAGACAAAGCTTTCTATTATAACAATAATACAGATAGTTTATATGAAAGTAAAAATCTCAGGATTTGCGACTGAGGCAGAAAAGCAAGTAGGAGCCAGCCTGAGTAACTTAGTAATACTATCCCTCAAAATAAAAATGGCTAAAATAAAAAAAAATAAATAAGAAAAAAGGGGCCGGGGAGATGGCTCAGTGGAAAAAGTGCTTCCCTGGTAAGCGCAAGGGCCAGAGTTCAATCCCTGGTTCCACCAAAAAATAAAAAAAAAAATAAATAAAATAAAAATGGCTAGGAATGGGCCGCAGAGATAGCTCAGTGGTCTAAGCGCCTGCCTAGGCAAGCGCAAGGACCCCAGTTCAATCCCCAGTACCCTATGCGATGCCAGCCCTGCCCCAGGTGTGCCAAGCCAGCCACCAAGACCAGGTATCGTGGCACAGCCTGTAATCCCAATGCTAGGGAGGCTGAAACAGGAGTATTACTAGAGTACAAGCTGCATAGTGAGGCCCTGTATCAAATACATAAAATTAAAGGAAAGAATAAAACAGTCAGGGATACAGCTCAGGCCTAATGTCCTGGGTTTGAACCCCAGTATAAAAGGGGTAGGAAGCAGAGACTAGAAAGAATGAATCTGACATTTATTTATTTATTTTTGAATCTGACATTTATCAGAGTGAATTCTGTCACTTTAACAATCTTCTCTTGAAACTTACCTGATCTGTCACATCATACACAACTATGATGCCATGAGCTCCTCTGTAATAACTGGAGGTGATTGTTCGAAATCTTTCTTGGCCTGCTGTGTCCCACTATTGCAAAACAATCAAGAAAAACAATTTAATTAAACTAGAATTGGAGGAAAGTACAAAAGAAAAGTTTTAAGTTTTCATAGTTGTGGAGATTACCAAGATTTGATACAGAAATAGCCTGTAATACTCACAATACTAAACTATGCAAGTGTCAAATACCTAAAAGGTTTTTTAAAAGCTAATGCTGGGGCTGGAGAGATGGCTCAGTGGTCTAAAGCACCTACTTGAAACAAGCTTGGCAAAGCACAGGGACCGCGGTTCGATCCCCAGCACCACATGCCAGCCAGCCCCGCCCCCCTGGTGGGCTGAGCTGGCCACACACACACAATAAATAAATGTAATAAATAAAAATAAATATTAAAAAAAAAAAAAGCTAATGCTGGGGCTGGCAAGATAGCTCAGCAGTCTAAAGTGCCTGCTTAGGCAAGCTTAGGCGGGCACAAGGGACAACGGTTTGATCCCCCACACCATATGCCGCAGCAAAAAAAAAAAAAAAAAGGGAAAAGATAATGATGCCTACTTAGTATTTAGCTAGTGGTGAAGATCCCCAAACTATGTTTTCTCTTTTGGTACAGGGAATTGAACTCAGAAACCTGCCCTTGCCAGGCAGGTGCTTATGCCACTGAGTTATACCCGGTCCCTAGAAGCTCTTCTGAGAGCAAAACTATCGTATGGTTTTTCTATTCCCTGCCTACATCATGCTAGGCATGAATGCAGAAACAGATCATCTTGGTTAGGAAAGTGACTAGACCCACAGCTTCATAGAGTGCAGTCTCACAAAGAACACTGGCTAGCACATTTCAAGATCTTGGAAAGCAATGAAAGGATCTAAATCAGATGGCAACCAGTCAAGACAGCAGCCTAACCATCTTAAGTGGCCATTATCTTAATCCTAGGAAAAATAATAAATGATGATTCCAAGCCTTTATAAAACTTTCTATAAGGCCAGGGAGATAGCTCAGTAGAATAAGTTCAATCACTGGTTTGAACCGAGTTCAATCACTGGTTCCGCAAAAAAAAAAGAAAAAAAAAAAGAATTTAGGGCCAGCCAAATAGCTCAGCGGATTAAAGTGCCTGCTTAGGCAGAGATGGGAACCTGCCATGCCAGCCCCACCCCTGGGGCACCCTGGGATGGCAAATGACACTGGGCGTGGTGGTGTGTGCCTGTAATCACAGCTCTTGGGAGGCTGTAAACAGGTGAATCACTGAGTCTCATGAGTAGTGAGACCCTGAACACCCTGTAGACCTTTCCCTAAACATACAAAAAAAAAGAACCTACCACACTTCAACCTTCAGGCTCCAACACCCAAAACATGTTATGGTTGGGACCCAACACAGCCACGCCTCCGACCCCAAGCCCCAAGGTTCACTCATGGTTTTTTTCTAAGCGACTGCATCACAAGGTTTTAACTTCAGTGGATTGAGATTACAACCTGATGGAACTGTGATGTGATGGAAACACAAAACCGGTGGTAGGAAAGTGACTTTGGAGACTATACATATCTAGTGCCGACCCCCTTCCGTTTAGGCTTTTAAATCCTCTCTACTTCTTTGTTTCCAGATGCAAAGTAGCTTTCCTTCCAAATCATGATGTTTCTACCTTGTCACAGACCTAAGCAATAGAGCCACTGACCATGGACTGAAATACCATGAGTCATAATAAATCTTTCCTCTAAGCTGTTCTTCCTCAGTTCTTTGCTCACAGTAATGAAAAGCTAACTACATTAACACTCTAAATTTAAAAAATAGTTATAAAATTGTTAGCAGGTATCATGGCATATGCCTACAATCCCAGCATTTGAGAGGTAAAGCAAAAGGATAGTGTTTGAGGCCACCCTAAAGCTACAGTCAGCATTTGCCTTTAATAGTTTTTGTTTGTTTGTTTGTTTTTAAAGTGTTAAAAATATCAAGAATCACTGTAATCCCATGAGGCTGAGACTGGAGGATTGCTGAGTTCAAAGCCATCATAGGCCACAAAGTGACTTCAAGGCCAGCCTGAACTACATAGTAAATAAGACCCCCATCTCAAAAAACTAAAACAAAAAACCAAAGGAGTAAAACAAAGAGTTTGAAATGTACTTCAGTGCTCTCTGGGTTCAATCCCAAATACCATTATGAAAAAATACAGATAGAACATAACCAAAGCATTATAGACACAACTCACTTTATATAACTGTTCAAGGGGTTTAAATGTTTGTATAATAATAATAATAATAATAATAATAATAATAATAATAAATGTTTGTAGCCCACGAAAGCGCTCAACAAACTAAGCGCTTGTTTAGGCAAGCGCAGGAACCAGGGTTCAATCCCTGGCAGCACATGCCACACTGGCCCCATCCCCAGGCATGATGAACAGGCCACCACCGGGCAGGCCACTGCTTGGCATGGTGGCACATGCCTGCCCAGTGCTGGGGAGGCTGAAAACAGGATCACTATGAGTCTGAGCTGCATAGTGAGACCCTGTACCAAATACATAAAAATAAATACCTTAATTAATGTTTGTAAAACACCTAGCAGTGCCTGACTATAAAAGCTGCTCAATAAAATGTTAGTTTCCTTCCCTTCTTGGTCCAAGACTTTTATTTTCCAAAATAGCACAAGGGAGCCAGGGAGATAGCTCAGCAGTCTAAGTCCCTGCCTGGCAAACACAAGGACCCAGGTTCAATCCCTGGTACCCCATACCATGCAGGTCCTGGAACTCAGGCACAACACACCAGCCAATGAAACTGGACATGGTGGCACAAGCCTGTAATAGTAGCACTGGGAAGGGAGACAGGAGGGTCACTATGAGCTGCATAGTGAGACAATTGTACCAAATAAATATATAAAAGCTAAAAAATAAAAAATAACATAAGGGAAAATTTTTTTCTGTAACTAAAAGTTAACATTCAGCTAATTAAAGCTAAGAAATAGCATCCAAAGAGTAAAATTTCTCATAACTGTCTCTTTTTTGGCGGGGAAGTACTAAGAATCTAACTCAGGACCTTGTGCTTGCCAGGAAAGTGCTTGTGTAGCTCAGCTACATCCCTGGCCCGTCTATTTGCTACTCTTTCTTTCTTTTTTTTGGTGGCTGGCTCAGCCTGCCCTACGACTGGCACAATATGTGGTGCTGGAATCAAACCGCGGTCCCAACTCTTCTCTAAGCAGGCGCTTCAGACCACTGAGCTATCTCGCTGGTCCACTCTTTTTTTTTTTTTTTTTTTAAGGAA